TATCCACAGATTCGGTTTCTTTCAGTTTCTTTCAGTTTCTTTCAGTTTCAGTTTCAGTTTCGGGGCTTAAACAGAAGGGTAGCCATGGCAACATTGCAGCGGGGCTGCTCGGTTGCTCTTCTTCGCGGCTTTTGGTGTATTTTGGCGGAAGTTACAGCGCCACTTACAGTCCCAGCATATGTACTACAGCGTTTCCAGCGGCCTCGTTTGAACAGACACGTTAAATGAAACAAATGCATGTGAACGGAAGACTTTTTTGAATACGCATACTGTGCATAAACGCAAACGGTCCCGTGTGAGCGGGGCCTCAGTCACCTTAATTCATGTAATAAAAATATCTCAGGTCAGTAACACTGAAAGCTAAATGTGCAATACCATGTTCAGCTATGTTACTATTTATAATGTTATTGTTGTTACAACAGAAGATGTTTTTCTTTATATTGAAGTTAAATGCATCAATCTGGTGCACTTTGAGGTCAAAATTAAGAGATTTATGGATACCGCTGGAAAAAGCTGCAGTACATATGCCGAGCCTGTACGTAGCGCTGTAACTTCCTCCACAAAAGCAGCCTTCTGTTTATTCAACGTGGTGGGGGCCGAGGGAACCGGGCAGAGTTTTTCGCCGGTCAACGTGTGTGAAAGTTTAAATCTTCCTTATTGAGCTTTAAAACAAATGAATAACGACTATATTTAATAATAAAATAAACACCGGCTGTTGTTATGCCTGCTGTAACGTTAAATTACTCCGTTCTCCGCTTAAGTAATTATGCCGTTACAAGCTTCATAGTTGTATTTATCATCTAAATTTGCCGAAACAAGTTTAATATTCTGAAAGCCAAGACTTTGTTTATTTGAAATCAGATGAAAACAAACTGTAATGGACCCTGCCGTGTTATCTATGATTACTATATGCCTTACTGTACATTCATAATTTCAGCCGGAGGGAGGGGTGCGGCGCTGCGGAAGAGCAGATTGCGAGTGAGGTGCCTGTCATCTTCCCTTTACAAGCTTCACAAATGTATTTATCGTGTGATTTTGGAAATAAAAGTTTCATATTCTGAAAGCCAAGACTTTGTTTATATATTATACGTGGGTAGCGGGGGGGGGGGGGGGGGGGGGGGGGGGGGGGGGTATTGTTGCACTTGTGACGTGCAACAACGTTAACATGACAACCTTTCTGTTGGTCGCTCGTTAGCAGACCCTTCACGCCATGGCAGAGCGAACAGGTACAGGCAGGGCCCGTAGTGATAGCCCTATAGTTTAAATCTACTACCCACAAATAAACATATGGACATGGGTTACTATTTGTGAAATATGTGTTTACATAAATGGTGACCAAACCGTTTGAGACCCACTGAGAACTTAGACTAAGTTAACTATCTAAACACTCAGAGAGTCCTTAACCTCACTGAGCTGAGGTTATCCCGAGCTTGAGTGACACACAGAGACCAATCGAGGGCTCTGATGTATGATCTGTAGACAGTGGCCATGTCGGCAGGCCACATCAGAAAGAGAGCCACAAACAGCTTAATGTAATTTGTTACATGCGTTACAAAGTACTAACTTAAAAAAAAGTTATGATATAATAAAAAATACAATACAAAATAAAAATAAAAAGTTACACAATTTACAAAATACACATCCTGTACTAGAGGCTGTGCTGGTTGTATAGAGGCTGTGTTGGTTGTATAGAGGCTGTGTTGGTTGTATAGAGGCTGTGCTGGTTGTATAGAGGCTGTGCTGGTTGTATAGAGGCTGTGCTGGTTGTATAGAGGCTGTGCTGGTTGTATAGAGGCTGTGCTGGTTGTATAGAGGCTGTGTTGGTTGTATAGAGGCTGTGCTGGTTGTATAGAGGCTGTGCTGGTTGTATAGAGGCTGTGCTGGTTGTATAGAGGCTGTGCTGGTTGTATAGAGGCTGTGCTGGTTGTATAGAGGCTGTGCTGGTTGCATAGAGGCTGTGTTGGTTGTATAGAGGCTGTGCTGGTTGTATAGAGGCTGTGTTGGTTGTATAGAGGCTGTGCTGGTTGTATAGAGGCTGTGCTGGTTGTATAGAGGCTGTGTTGGTTGTATAGAGGCTGTGTTGGTTGTATAGAGGCTGTGCTGGTTGTATAGAGGCTGTGCTGGTTGTATAGAGGCTGTGCTGGTTGTATAGAGGCTGTGTTGGTTGTATAGAGGCTGTGCTGGTTGTATAGAGGCTGTGCTGGTTGTATAGAGGCTGTGCTGGTTGTATAGAGGCTGTGTTGGTTGTATAGAGGCTGTGCTGGTTGTATAGAGGCTGTGCTGGTTGTATAGAGGCTGTGCTGGTTGTATAGAGGCTGTGTTGGTTGTATAGAGGCTGTGTTGGTTGTATAGAGGCTGTGCTGGTTGTATAGAGGCTGTGTTGGTTGTATAGAGGCTGTGTTGGTTGTATAGAGGCTGTGCTGGTTGTATAGTCTGACCGCTGCAGGAAGGAAGGACCTGCGGTATCTCTCCGTGAGACAGCGGGGGTGCAGCAGCCTGTCGCTTCCTTGCCAGTCTGTTCAGTCTCTTCCTGTCAGCAGCTGAGATGTTGCCCCAGCAGACCACAACATAGAAAATGGCTGAAGGAGTGCCCCCTCTGAGTCTGTTCTGTCCCTTCTTGTACAGAGCAGCAGAATTATCAGTCCATTATAATGGACCCATTCAACACAGGCAGGGACAGAGAGACTCTGTACACACACACACACACACACACACACACACACACACACACACACACACACACACACACACACACACACACACACACCACACACACACACACACACAGACACACACACACACACACAGACACACACACACACACACACACACACACACACAGACACACACACACACACACACACACACACACACACACACATACACACACACACACACACACACACACACACACACACACACACACACACACACACACACACACACTATAGTGGGGGAAACTTCTGTAGCAATGGAGAGTCAGGACTCAGAGAGACACGAGGAGAGCTGGAGCTTTGATGGCAAACACTGACGGTTTATTTGGAGCTTCGGCCGGAGAATTCACAAGACATGTCACAGGTTACGAGTTGACCACACGGATGAGATGCCACAATCAATTCTGAAGAGCTCTCCCACAGACCCATGTGTTTAGCTAGTTCTGAGAGAATAATCAACATTGTGCAGAACAAGATTACATCACATGTCATTTGTTAGACGCTTTTATCCAAAGCGACTAACAAACATTCAGTACTGTGGACAATCCCCACAGGAGCAATTTGGGGAGCAATTTGGGGTGAAGTGTCTTGCCGAGGGACACAACGACATGCTGACTGCAGTGGGACTCGAACTTGCTATCCCCTGATTCGAAGTCCAGCACACTATCCACTGAGCAACCGCCTCAGATAAAATAGAATCATAACCCCTCTATCAGCTGACACCAACAGGCAGGAACAGGGAGACAGAACACTGAGAGCACAGCAGCCCAGGCTACAGGTGCGTGTGCTCAGTCAGGACATTTGTTCACACATCAGCCACAAATAACAACGGGGCGCTGATCTTAATCTGATAGTTCGCTAGGTGTCATGTAAACAGGAAACCAACAGTTCCTGTAACCATCAGCTTCTTCATGATGAGTTTCTCAGAACTGCAGTTCAGAGAAGTTAAAGACAGTATTATATATACTTTAATATTTAATGGACTGTTCAACACAGGCAGGGACAGAGACTCTTTAGAGGCCTTCACTCACCGGGGCCCGATTGAACGTAACAACAAACCACATTGAGCTGAACACGTTTGAGTTCTTCTGTATTTCTAAGGATTTAAAACCCCTCTCCACATTCCCAGAGAGTCTCTCTCTCCGCTCATCAGAGGAGAGTCTAACTGTGAGTTACTGTAGCTTTGAAAGCAACAGCAAGTCTCTCTCTCCGCTCATCAGAGGAGAGTCTGACTGTGAGTTACTGTAGCTTTGAAAGCAACAGCAAGTCTCTCTCTCCGCTCATCAGAGGGGAGTCTGACTGTGAGTTACTGTAGCTTTGAAAGCAACAGCAAGTCTCTCTCTCAGCTCATCAGAGGAGAGTCTGACTGTGAGTTACTGTAGCTTTGAAAGCAACAGAGAGTCTCTCTCTCCGCTCATCAGAGGAGAGTCTGACTGTGAGTTACTGTAGCTTTGAAAGCAACAGCAAGTCTCTCTCTCCGCTCATCAGAGGAGAGTCTGACTGTGAGTTACTGTAGCTTTGAAAGCAACAGCAAGTCTCTCTCTCCGCTCATCAGAGGAGAGTCTGACTGTGAGTTACTGTAGCTTTGAAAGCAACAGCAAGTCTCTCTCTCCGCTCATCAGAGGAGAGTCTGACTGTGAGTTACTGTAGCTTTGAAAGCAACAGTAAGTCTCTCTCTCTCTGCTCATCAGAGGAGAGTCTGACTGTGAGTTACTGTAGCTTTGAAAGCAACAGCAAGTCTCTCTCTCCGCTCATCAGAGGAGAGTCTGACTGTGAGTTGCTGTAGCTTTGAAAGCAACAGTAACTCAGTTATTTATTTAATTAGCTTAGCTATCGGCTTTAACTGTTAACACAATTCAATCAGAGGATTTATAAACACATCGTCTTGCTTTAAGAACAAATAGTCAAACCTGATGTTGGTAAGCTTATATACGTTATATATATAAACGGTCTTTATATGAATATGAATATGTGCACAGCTACAGTGTAGTTATGACCTAATGACTAATGTGCAAGTCATGCAGGAGAAGTGAACTGTATACAAGTGAAATAGAATAAGATGATCTAAAGATAGAATGTAAAGTGAAATGCTGAACAGTGAAATAAAATGCAGCTTGTATTGTATAAATATGTGTTTGAGATTTTGCACATTTGTTCTCCTGTTTTAATGTAATTTAAATACGTGTTTGTAAGACTCCTGTTAAAGACTCAGGCACAGGACAATAACTTCCCTTAAAATGTCACAAACGCTGTGTGAGTGGGGAGGGGCAGAGAGGCGTGATGGGACCCTCAGATATTGTTCCAGAGAAGCTGCACCTCTTCCTGTGAGCAGATATAAAGAAACGACCGCATGTGAGATGTTCAGAGAGACGGAAGAGAGACGATGCTCTACCTAAACTATTTCCCAACATAATAAAGTATACGTATATCTATAAAGTATATATCTACCTCTACGGGACATGGATCACCTGCTTGCTGCTGCTGCTGTGGGGCTCAGGTAGGACTTTCAACTTTATTATAAACTCCAGAACAAACTGCTCAAACACGCTAACGTTTAATATTCAATGTTTCTTCTGGTAAATATATGTTTTCTCGTCCTACATCCAATCAATGTAGACATTTGCAGAACTTAATGTTTTAAAGTGAAATGTGATGTTCCTCAGACCTGAGTGTACATGTTGTTCTGGTCCTTTCTTTAGCTTTTGTAAAAACCTCCAACGACTAAATAATAAGTTTTCATTTCTTCAGCCATTTGATGTTTGTGTTTATTGAGATGTGAGTAGATAACATCAGCTGTGTTTCTATAAAGTACATCAGAGTGTTTTTGGGGCGGTGATGACTGTCGTGTCAAACGATCATATCATCATTTAAAACAGGGGTGTCAAACTCAAGGCCCGGGGGCCAAATCCGGCCCGCGACTTCATTTCTGTGGCCCTGCAAGAGCTCTGAAAGAATATAATAGGTTTATTATACGGTGACATGCCACTTTACAGAAGCAGGTGGCCCATAAACTACATGTCCCACAATGCATCTCTTTCTGTGACACTGAAGAGACTTGCAATGATTTTCCCTGGACTTCTGCTTTCAGACGTAGTTAATTACTAAGTTATTATCCTATCCCATAATAATCCAATTCAGAGGCAATAATGTAATATAATACATTATTTTATATATATATTATATATTTATATACATTTATATAGTTACAACCGGCCCTTTGAGTGCAACCTTAATGCTAATGTGGCCCGTGATGAAATAGAGTTTGACCCCCTGATTTAAAACATATAGTCTTATACTCTGATTGCCTTTGACTCTGTTACATAGTATTGTTAGTCTTGTACGTGTCCCCTCTGTGGGACCTCTGAGGGTCCCTCCTTCTTGTTGCTGCAGGGACCCCAGCTCCAAAGTGACTATTGTTTAGCATCAATCTGTGAAAATGGCAGCCACCAAAAGGGAGAATAATGGTGTCCTCTGGACTTCAGCTGTGGTTGTGTATGTCCTGTGTGAGCATGATGCTGTGCAGCAAACACACACAGTTACTTCACAGATCTGGATGAATGATGTGAAATCTAATCAAGTGTTAAATCAGACTTTAGTTCCACCTGGAGTAAATCCACAAGCTACCCTGCAGTATACAAAGTCATTCAAACTAGCTGCACCTTTACCAGCTTTGAGAACACTTTCATGATCAATCATTATAAAACATATCATATATATTATTCTGAAATGGACCAATCTGCACAATGACTACTTTTACTGTCTCTACTTTCACTATATTTTGATGAGAATACTTTTCTACTTTCACTTGAGGAACATTTTGAATGCAGGACTTTTACTGTAACAGAGTATTCCTACACTCTGGTACTTCTACTTTTACTCAAGTACAAGATCTGAGTACTTCTACTTTTACTCAAGAACAAGATCTGAGTCCTTCTACTTTTACTCAAGTACAAGATCTGAGTACTTCTACTTTTACTCAAGTACAAGATCTGAGTACTTCTACTTTGACTCAAGTACAAGATCTGAGTACTTCTACTTTTACTCAAGTACAAGATCTGAGTACTTCTACTTTTACTCAAGCACACGATCTGAGTACTTCTACTTTTACTCAAGCACACGATCTGAGTACTTCTACTTTTACTCAAGTACCAGACCTGAGTACTTCTACTTTTACTCAAGTACAAGATCTGAGTACTTCTACTTTTACTCAAGTACCAGACCTGAGTACTTCTACTTTTACTCAAGTACAAGATCTGAGTACTTCTACTTTGACTCAAGTACAAGATCTGAGTACTTCTACTTTTACTCAAGTACAAGATCTGAGTACTTCTACTTTTACTCAAGCACACGATCTGAGTACTTCTACTTTGACTCAAGTACAAGACCTGAGTACTTCTACTTTTACTCAAGTACAAGATCTGAGTACTTCTACTTTTACTCAAGCACACGATCTGAGTACTTCTACTTTTACTCAAGTACAAGACCTGAGTACTTCTACTTTTACTCAAGCACACGATCTGAGTACTTCTACTTTGACTCAAGTACAAGACCTGAGTACTTCTACTTTTACTCAAGTACAAGATCTGAGTACTTCTACTTTTACTCAAGCACACGATCTGAGTACTTCTACTTTGACTCAAGTACAAGATCTGAGTACTTCTACTTTTACTCAAGTACAAGATCTGAGTACTTCTACTTTTACTCAAGCACACGATCTGAGTACTTCTACTTTTACTCAAGTACAAGACCTGAGTACTTCTACTTTTACTCAAGTACAAGATCTGAGTACTTCTACTTTGACTCAAGTACAAGACCTGAGTACTTCTACTTTTACTCAAGTACAAGATCTGAGTACTTCTACTTTTACTCAAGCACACGATCTGAGTACTTCTACTTTGACTCAAGTACAAGATCTGAGTACTTCTACTTTTACTCAAGTACAAGATCTGAGTACTTCTACTTTGACTCAAGAACAAGACCTGAGTACTTCTACTTTTACTCAAGTACAGGATCTGAGTACTTCTACTTTTACTCAAGTACAAGATCTGAGTACTTCTACTTTGACTCAAGAACAAGACCTGAGTACTTCTACTTTTACTCAAGTACAAGATCTGAGTACTTCTACTTTTACTCAAGCACACGATCTGAGTACTTCTACTTTTACTCAAGTACAAGACCTGAGTACTTCTACTTTTACTCAAGCACACGATCTGAGTACTTCTACTTTGACTCAAGTACAAGACCTGAGTACTTCTACTTTTACTCAAGTACAAGATCTGAGTACTTCTACTTTTACTCAAGCACACGATCTGAGTACTTCTACTTTGACTCAAGTACAAGATCTGAGTACTTCTACTTTTACTCAAGCACACGATCTGAGTACTTCTACTTTTACTCAAGCACACGATCTGAGTACTTCTACTTTTACTCAAGTACCAGACCTGAGTACTTCTACTTTTACTCAAGTACAAGATCTGAGTACTTCTACTTTTACTCAAGTACCAGACCTGAGTACTTCTACTTTTACTCAAGTACAAGATCTGAGTACTTCTACTTTGACTCAAGTACAAGATCTGAGTACTTCTACTTTTACTCAAGTACAAGATCTGAGTACTTCTACTTTTACTCAAGCACACGATCTGAGTACTTCTACTTTGACTCAAGTACAAGACCTGAGTACTTCTACTTTTACTCAAGTACAAGATCTGAGTACTTCTACTTTTACTCAAGCACACGATCTGAGTACTTCTACTTTTACTCAAGTACAAGACCTGAGTACTTCTACTTTTACTCAAGCACACGATCTGAGTACTTCTACTTTGACTCAAGTACAAGACCTGAGTACTTCTACTTTTACTCAAGTACAAGATCTGAGTACTTCTACTTTTACTCAAGCACACGATCTGAGTACTTCTACTTTGACTCAAGTACAAGATCTGAGTACTTCTACTTTTACTCAAGTACAAGATCTGAGTACTTCTACTTTTACTCAAGCACACGATCTGAGTACTTCTACTTTTACTCAAGTACAAGACCTGAGTACTTCTACTTTTACTCAAGCACACGATCTGAGTACTTCTACTTTGACTCAAGTACAAGATCTGAGTACTTCTACTTTTACTCAAGTACAAGATCTGAGTACTTCTACTTTTACTCAAGCACACGATCTGAGTACTTCTACTTTGACTCAAGTACAAGATCTGAGTACTTCTACTTTTACTCAAGTACAAGATCTGAGTACTTCTACTTTGACTCAAGAACAAGACCTGAGTACTTCTACTTTTACTCAAGTACAGGATCTGAGTACTTCTACTTTTACTCAAGTACAAGATCTGAGTACTTCTACTTTGACTCAAGAACAAGACCTGAGTACTTCTACTTTTACTCAAGTACAAGATCTGAGTACTTCTACTTTTACTCAAGCACACGATCTGAGTACTTCTACTTTTACTCAAGTACAAGACCTGAGTACTTCTACTTTTACTCAAGCACACGATCTGAGTACTTCTACTTTGACTCAAGTACAAGACCTGAGTACTTCTACTTTTACTCAAGTACAAGATCTGAGTACTTCTACTTTTACTCAAGCACACGATCTGAGTACTTCTACTTTGACTCAAGTACAAGATCTGAGTACTTCTACTTTTACTCAAGCACACGATCTGAGTACTTCTACTTTTACTCAAGCACACGATCTGAGTACTTCTACTTTTACTCAAGTACCAGACCTGAGTACTTCTACTTTTACTCAAGTACAAGATCTGAGTACTTCTACTTTTACTCAAGTACCAGACCTGAGTACTTCTACTTTTACTCAAGTACAAGATCTGAGTACTTCTACTTTGACTCAAGTACAAGATCTGAGTACTTCTACTTTTACTCAAGTACAAGATCTGAGTACTTCTACTTTTACTCAAGCACACGATCTGAGTACTTCTACTTTGACTCAAGTACAAGACCTGAGTACTTCTACTTTTACTCAAGTACAAGATCTGAGTACTTCTACTTTTACTCAAGCACACGATCTGAGTACTTCTACTTTTACTCAAGTACAAGACCTGAGTACTTCTACTTTTACTCAAGCACACGATCTGAGTACTTCTACTTTGACTCAAGTACAAGACCTGAGTACTTCTACTTTTACTCAAGTACAAGATCTGAGTACTTCTACTTTTACTCAAGCACACGATCTGAGTACTTCTACTTTGACTCAAGTACAAGATCTGAGTACTTCTACTTTTACTCAAGTACAAGATCTGAGTACTTCTACTTTTACTCAAGCACACGATCTGAGTACTTCTACTTTTACTCAAGTACAAGACCTGAGTACTTCTACTTTTACTCAAGCACACGATCTGAGTACTTCTACTTTGACTCAAGTACAAGACCTGAGTACTTCTACTTTTA